ATGTATGTTAGTGTGTATGTATGTTAGTGTGTGTGTGTGTGTGTGTATGTTTGTGTGTGTATGTTAGTGTGTCTGTTAGTGTGTGTATGTTAGTGTGTGTGTATGTTAGTGTTTGTGTCTGTTAGTGTGTATGTTAGTGTTAGTGTGTGTATGTTAGTGTGTGTGTGTGGATGTCTGTTAGTTTGTGTATGTTAGTGTGTCTGTTAGTGTGTGTATGTTAGTGTGTATGTTAGTGTTTGTGTCTGTTAGTGTGTATGTTAGTGTGTGTATGTTAGTGTTAGTGTGTGTGTCTGTTAGTGTTAGTGTGTATGTTAATGTTAGTGTATGTATGTTAGTGTGTGTGTGTCTGTTAGTGTGGATGTCTGTTAGTGTGTGTGTTTGCCTGTTAGTGTGTGTGTGTGTTTGCCTGTTAGTGTGTGTGTGTGTTTGCCTGTGAGTGTGTGTGTGTGTTTGCCTGTGAGTGTGTGTGTCTGTTAGTGAGTGTGTGTCTGTTAGTGACTGTGTGTTTCTGTTAGTGACTGTGTGTTTCTGTTAGCTAGTGAATGCGTATCTGTCAGTGAATGTGTGTGTGTGTATTTAGAAGGCGGAGCAGGGGGGAAGGTTGGGTGGCGGTTGCGCAGGTGGGGGTGGCGCGGGGGGGTGCCTGAGTTTTGTCCTGCCTAGGGCAGCACAAAACCAGGATACACCACTGGATCTATACACAGTTGCCTTACATGGACAATAGCAAAAAATAAACTGGATAAAGTCAGAGAGTGTCTCTGTGTACTACCCTCAAAAAAGAGGGAAGAAATGCAGCAGCTTTCTTGTTTTGCTATAATGAAATTGACTTCAAGGTCACTGACTAAAAAAAGTGTCCAAAAGAAAGCTGCTGCAGAAAAAGAGAGAACATAAACTCTGCAGGGCTGAATACCAAAAAGATCTCCCAATTATTCCACTAGTAAGCCAATCCAACCTTCCGGTCCTATGTGCTGCCAAAACTGCTTAGTGATCCCCCTTCTCCATCTGCTATTGAATCACCATATTGCTAAAAAAAAAAACAAAAAAAAAACTGTGCTGTGATTTCAAGAAACAAAGTGAACCGACACATTTCAGCGCTACTAGACCACCTTCATCCGGGGCATATTTACATTACTAGACCAATTAGACATCCTTTGTGCCTTTGTTGTTATTATTATTAATTTTCTGCAGTGTTGTACAATAGGTGAAGTAACAAACAAGAAGTTGCTACAAAACAGCATAGCCCAGAATCTAACCTGTTTTAAATCCAAATTTTTAATTAGTATAAAGCTTTATAATGCAATGGGCAGGAGCTCTGGACATTTAATGGTGTTATTTACCAAAGTGTAAAATGGGTGGAATTCAAAATGAATTCAATGTGTATTTCAAAAAATAAGGCTGAAATAGCTAAATTGAAAGTATAACTCACTGGAGTAATGTTTACAGATTGCTTATTTTGTCCTAAAATCTGAAATTCAATTGAAATTTAAACTTTGAAATCCTGACAAATCCTATTTTATTGAATAAGCGTGCATCAATACTAATATGGCTATATGGGGGAAGTGAATCCCCATATTTGTTTACTGAGATTGGTGACTTTAAGTAGCCTTCTAGAATTTAGAAATGTATTTGCGTGCATGCGCTGATGTTTAAAAGTGATGCAGCAACAAAAACAACTGGGCTGGGTGTCTCCACTGCTCTAGCATGAATCATGGAGGTCTCATTAAAAACATATTTGAAAGCAATGGCATGTAAACACAAAAAATTAAAGCAACATAACTATACACAAACATATTTCTAAAAGTGCAGTAAAAAAACCAAACAAACAGATTGTGCCCCAGCGCTTATTACATGCAAATTAATTTTAAATGTGCCAATGTCTCTAATAACCTCCTTATAATGGTATAACCAAATATTTAATGGATAGCTGTTACCGCACTTCTTGTGAACAACAACAACACAAAACCATATAACCCTAAACAATCGGGAAGTGGAGCACTTATACATATATACATACAGCGTACTGAAAATGTATATTTATCTTCAGTAAATCTCTTCCTGTGTAATATCACATTAAACAACAAAAATATATATAAAGCCATCATAGTCTAGCATATACCAAATAACTGACAATATATACAAGTGCAAATGAAACCACTCTCATATGTTAGAGCTAATACGTAAACTCTAACTGCAGCGGCCTTTGGGCCTTTTATTGTCAAACTGATCTTACAGCACAATGTGTTTAATTCAGAGCTTCTGCCCTGCTAATTGACCTTTAGTCATACACAGTAGGCTGCTGAAAGCTCTAACATGCAATTAACAAAGCAGGAGAATTTATAAGAACTTTAAATTACACACACTGCCTAAGAAATGAAGTTTTTAAAAATAGACATTTTTGTAGGGAGTGTGTAGGGAGGTTCAGTGAGTACCAGCAAGGGAAGGTGTGGCTAGGGCTGCATAAAGAAAGTGATTTAACTCCTAAATGGTAGAGAATTGAGAAGTGACACTGTAGTGGCATGATCCATACACAAAACTGCTTCATTCAGCTAAAGTAATTTTGGTTCTTAGACTGTACATTTAAATAGCAATAAAATGGATTCTAGACTATGAAATTCACCCTAAGTCATATCAACAAAGGATATGCATAAAGATTTATGAGAAAAGCAGATTTATAAGATAAGATTACTTACAGGACACAGATTGCAAATGCTCCACGAACAGACTCACTAGGACGCACAAGAAATGCACCATCTCTCCCATCATGAAGCAGTAACTGTTCTGCACATGCCTGGCTCATATCTGGGTGGTACCAATATTCACTCATATTTCTTTCTGCAATAAAATGTTACCAATCAATATGCAATAGCCACAAAAAAAACTCATTTATTTAGTTACTAACAAGACTTTAGGGACCATTTTTATTAAACAGTGGTATAAAAAAAAGTGCACACTATGAAGAAGAATTGACTTAGACTTAGACTTGTACCCAAATGTACCCAAATGTACCCAGACAGCACAGTGTGAGTGCATCATTAGACACATTCTCACTGTGAACATGAACTAGGAGGGGTCTCCGCATCCTCAAAACAGCCAGTAGATGACAATCACAGACCAGAGGTCACAGAATAAAAAAAAAAAGGAAATCCCTTTGCTAATAACAGTATTGAGATTATTATACTATATTATACTACATTTGGAAAGTGCCAAGATATTCTGCTGCACTGCACATGGGTACAATGTAAGAACACACAAGTATAATACAAACTGTGAGAATTTACAATCTAGATTAGCAGAAGGGAACCCTAAGGATTAGAACTTGATTTAGGATTAGGTTTAAAATTAGTATTAGATTGAGGATTGGGTTTACAATTGGGGTTCAGATTAGGGTTCAGATTAGGATTAGGACCAGAAAGGAAAGCTGCCTAATACTATTGCTAGAGTTAGGATAGCATTTAGGATTAATGTTAGGCATACAAATAGTGTAAGGGTTAAGATTAGTGTGAGATTTAGGATTGGGTTAAGGATCTGGGTAAGGTTTAGGATTAGAATTGATACCATTAGTTATACAAATGGTATATTGTTGTACTAAGGGAATGTTGCTGACGAGTTCAGGTAAGTAATTTTTATTACAGTGGCACACGTAAGATTTAAAAAAATAAGCAGCAAAAATACATGGTGTAAGAATTATAAATTAAAAATGAATACCACGGGGGGCGGAGCCAGCACCAAAGTGAGCTAGATGCATCCTGCAGCAGCTCCTCGGGGAAATCCACCCAAACGCTGAATGCAGGCGAATCCGGCACACTTACCGAGCCACTAACAGCCTCCTGTGTGCCATACATCATGGGCAAGAAGGCGAAAAAATATAAAGTTGATCCCGGCTCGGGCTCCCGAGATATCGGAGCTTTCATGCGCACGACCATGCGGTCGGACCCAAGCAAGATGGCGCCAGTTGGGGCCTATACCTCGCCTTCGTCAGACGACGAGAGTCAGACAGCCACCCACTCACCTCCTCCAAAGGTACCAGCGAGGCCCGCGACACACATGGAGCTGGGTGACACAGCCCCAGCCACGAAGGCTGACATAAGGGCCCTAGCACAGGAAATACAAGCAATGTTCCATGCTGACATGGCGCTGATCAGGGAGGAAATCTCCACACTCACATGAAGGGTGAAGATGGTGGAAGAAGACCTTAAAGGTGTTGGAGTAGCCCAGACCGCCACAGATGCAGCCCTGGGGTCACTGCAAAAGCAATGCAACACCCTGACTACACAAATAGCTGCTATGGAAGATAAGGCGAAGGCACGGAACGTGAGGATCCGAAGGGTTCCTGAATCGGTCACTGACTCTGAGTTACCCCATTACTGCCGGAGGCTGATAGCCACACAAGTGAAACAAATAGGGGTGGACTCATGTTTTCGGCTCCCCAAGGCACGTAGGGCTCCCCAGGGGGCTACTGGGGATGTACTTGTCAAATTTATTCCAGACTCCGACCGGGGGGCTCTCATGGGAGCCTCAAGAAGCTTGCCCACGGTTCCCTTTGAAGGGGCACACCTAACTTTTTATAGAGACATTTCCAGGCACACTTTGACATGGAGACGGTCTCTCAGACCGATTACCCAGCAGCTTCGAGAGCACACCATCACGTATAAATGGGGGCAGAACCGACTGATGGCAGAGAAAGCAGGCAAAACGCACCTCCTCATGCACAAATCGGAAGCACCAGCTTTCCTTCGGGCCCTGGGCCTGCCAACGGAGACGACCCCAGTGGACAACAGCCCTTCTTGGTGTGTCGCAAACATCACTCCATTTGTGCCCAGGGGAACAAGAACGGGCATACCGGACTCACCTACCTGAAACTAGCATGGACTGCAGCCGTGCACGGCACAGTTTTACCTAACATTGTTTGACACGGTATTATTTTAATGTTCGATGCCATATTATTCCCATATAAGTTCACTAATATTTTATGTACATCTAGTTTGTATAAACATATGCCCGCCACCTCTATCTGGCTCCGCAAGCTGACAGCCAGCCACCGTGCCTTGTATTTACCCCCACCCCCGTCCCCTCTATTTGCTGCTCACCATAATCAGCCAGTTAGTGCTCTGGGGCGCGTTATTCAGCCGACCTAGCTGGCACAATTACCTACTGGCTAACCGCCAAGTCAGCACTAGGCTCTTTATCCCCTATGACAACTTGTATTAACTAACTCGCACCCTAAGCAGAATTACTTTAAGACATAGCCTTAGGACCTGAAACCCCCGAGGGTGCATATGCAACTGATCGGCAACCTCAAGTCACTAGATGGGCCAACAACTAGTGCAGTCATGAGGAATCTAAGCAAGAAGACTGCAAAACTGGGTTTCATAATACGCATGTGATGCTGGGGAACAGTGTGAGGTCTGCAGTATACCTTTCCTGCACTCAATGCAACCATGTTGATCTTGATTACCCTAACAACAGGGAGAACACTGTTTTCCAGCACCGTTAGCATGCCTAATAACCTGTTTCACTCCCACTGTAAAAACCCACTCATTACGTTGAGCTTGGTACTATATAAATAAAAAGTAAAAATGTGCGATCTCTAATGCCACTACATAACCTGTATGCATCTATATATTTACGCTGTTGTGGCGTCTTGTCAAAGTTATGTACCTACCTGCACAATAAAAATAAAGAATTAAAAAAAAAAAATTTCATAGAAATTCTGACATTTAGAGGAGGTTATTCACAGTAAATATTGAATTTAAACCCAAACTGCGAGATTTAGGCCAAAGTAAAAAGTAGACAAGCGGAGTTGTTTTTTTCCAAATCAGCACATTTTGCTGGTATTTAGTTTTTAATTCATTGAAGATGGAAAATGATTATACTTCTGGGAGTTCCTACGAGTAAGTGTGGTATTCGGGGGCGGGGGGTGGGGGGTCCACATGAAATGCCTTAGGTTGTAATCTGTGATCCATAAGAAGATTACCTCTTTTTTTCCTCTAAAATTGGATTTTCAAATAAAGCTTGACCTTAAATACAAAAAAAAAAAATGAATACCACAAACTTTGAAAAAAAAAAGTGTGAAAAAATGGCACCTCAGAGCTCAAAATGTGTGAACTGAGAGTCTGATATCTATAAATTCATCTATAAAAATAAAAACAGTAAAAACCAAAATAGTCAGGTCTTTTATATGATACTATAACTTCACAAGATAATGGCAAAGGCATACATTGGGGGTATTGTTTTACTCAGAAGAGTTATCTGAGCAGATAGTGGCACATATCAGATTTACAAAATGCCCAGTATGTTTGTAGAAGATGGAAAAATAAAATTGTTACCACAAATTTTGACATAAACTGGTGCAAAAATGGTGGCATGTTAAAGCACAATACATGGGCGTCCGCAGGAATTTTTCCAGGGGGGGCATAATTGTAATGACATCCATGCTTGGCCCCTTTTTGACAGTGTCATGAAAGGGAAGGAGCATAGTCATTTTCACATAAAGCAAGGGTGAATAGCATTTTCACAACTATGGTGTCAGGAATATATGTTTGTATTCCTGACACTATAGTATTCCTTTAATCAAATTAAAGGTACATTCTGGTCACCATAACAACTTTACCTAAATGAAAATGCTATGATGCCAGGAAGCCCCTGGGTGCTCTTTTTCCTTTAAGGGGTTAAACCGCTCTCAAATGGTTTAACCCCAAAGGCTTCCTCCAGCTCCAGGTCACTCAGTGGTATTCGGCTTCTGAAACAGAGTGTCAGGAAGTGCAGATTGACATCGGGCATGGGTGCCGCTGATTGGCTAGAGTGGTCAGCTGACGCTCTAAGCCAATCGCTAGTTCCCGATTCATAAATTTGTTTTAAGTTTTTATGAATGGGGAGCTACTGATTGGCTTAGAGTGCCAGCTGACCCTCTAGCCAATCAGCGGCGCCCCTACCCAGCGACCCTCTGTGTTTCCTGACACTCTGTGAATAAAAGTGAACACATCAACACTTATATTTTTTTTACCTGGGGAGATGAGAAGGTCCAAAGTTTCCCTGCCAGGCCCAGGTACCAAAGCCTTATGATGTTGTGTCCAGAATTAAGTGCTCCAATCTCATTTTCTTCTCCTTCATTTGACTTACATTGCCATAATACAGACCAGGACCGCCGGGCTCATGACAAGCTCGGCGGTCCTGGGGGGGCCCAGGCAGAAGCTCTTACTTACCTTCCCAGCAGCTCCCTTCAGCTCCCATGTCTAAATCTTGCGAGTCCCCGACTGACAGCTCAGCTCGCGGTCTTTGCCCGCCCCCTCTTCTCTGCTGACAGGCAGGAGAGAGAAGGCGCGCACACAGTGCCTTCTCTCTCCTGCACACATCAGACGTATTTTAGGGCCATACATGATAAGAAGTCTGAGTGACGGCCACTGGAGGTATTCCTATCAATCAATGTTAACATTGTACAGTGTTTACATTAGATTGCCTGAAGGGAGCTATAGATCTCACCTGAACAACTACATTAAGCTGTAGTTGTTCAGGTGACTATAGTGTCCCTTTAAATATTTAAATAATAAACAAAAATATTAAAATAATAAAAATGCCGTCCCCCCACCCAGTTTACACACACTACACAAACACACACACACTCTGCATTATATTCACACACACTGCATTCACACAAACACACTCTGCATTATATACACACACACACTGCATTCATTATACACACACTATACAAACACACACACTCTGCATTCATTTTATACACACTACACAAACACACACACTGCATTATATTCACACACACTGCATTCACACAAACACACTCTGCATTATATACACACAAACTGCATTCACACAAACACATACTCCACTCTGCATTCATAATATATACACACACTGCATTCATTATATACACACACTATACAAACACACACACACTGCATTCATTATATACACACACTATACAAACACACACACTCTGCATTCATTATATACACACACTACACAAACACACACTCTGCATACATTATATACACACACTACACAAACATACACTGCATTCATTATATACGCACACTACACAAACACACACTCTGCATTCATTATTTACACAATACACAAACACACACACACACACTCTGCATTCATTATATACACACACTACACAAACACACACACACTGCATTCATTATATACACACACTACACACAAACACACACTGCATTCATTATATACACACACAGTAAATAAATATTCAAAAACATTTAACCTACTGATGCCTCAATTAATGTAATTTTATTGGTATCTATTTTTTTTTTTAAATTTACCAGTAGCTGCTGCATTTCCCACCCTAGGCTTATACTCGAGTCAATAAGTGTTCCCAGTTTTTTGTGGTAAAATTAGGGGCCTCGACTTATATTCGGGTCGACTTATACTCGAGTATATACGGTATACTTTGAATTACTTTTCTTAAACTGTAAAAATTGTGAAAAAAGTGGGGTTTTTTGTATTTTTTTATAATAAATGAGAATATATGTATATGTCACATAAAATTAATTTTGTCCGTTAAAAAATGGTAAATAATATGTGTTGGTGCAAAAAATGAAAAAGATTGAATTTGCTGGTGAACAAATACATAGTAATAATTAATAAGCAAACTGAAGCTAGCCTAATTGACTGGCTTGTGGAGGCATAGCGTGGGTGGGAATTATAGTAAGGTAGTACCAGTTTCAAAATTAACAGGCCAGATGATGAAAAAAAATAAAATAATACTAATAAAGACAATAAGTAGAAAAAAAAATAAAATAAGAAAATGTTGCCATATTTTAATAAAAGAGACATGTTCTAAACAGAAACAGAAATAATGATGTGTGCAAAGCATGTTTTCTACCTACATACAAACTGCAACGTAAGTGGAAAATGTCCAAATGCACCCACACTACATACACAATGTGCGTACATGAAAGTAGACACTAAAAAGAATACTACTATAAAGCAAAATATGTGCAAGTACGTTTAATTGTTTCATTACTCTGTACAAGGTTCTCTTATGTGTTTAATATGGTAATAGAATAAATAGTCAAAAGTCCCGACGGACATCAAGAGAACGGAGCCAGCCATTAGATGTGGATACTATATCATGCCCACCTGTCTGCACTAGTGCTTACAGATGGAGAATCTGAACTTCAATGAAAGCAAACCATAAGCAATTGGTAGGGCACAGCAAAAAATAGAAGGAACATTGTATTCCCAAAGATGTATTGATAAAGTGCTACCAATGTGGAAAATGCATGGCAAGAGACTGAACGTGGTTCTTGCTACTTAATTGTAAGCCAGCTTGTAGAACTCTGCACTTTCTTAGTAAATCTTTGGTGAGATACTGTTGTTGGAGCCATTCCTTTCTGCTCATGCTGTTGTGTCCTGCCACTTGCTCACTTTTTCCATTGGATTTTTTATGGGATCCTTACTCATAGACAGTGGCTGGTGGCATTGCTTGCTTGAAAGAATATAATGGCTGTGTTCAGATAGATCAAATTTATAGGAGAACACCACCGTTACATATACATTGAATGATGCATCATTTTTAGTGTCTTTGGGATGGATTTTTATACTTGTTTTTTTGTTTACATTTTATTTATTACGTAGTTACATAATTACAAAGGCTGCATAGAAGACTTGTATTCATCAATCCCAGCCTTTCTCACATCTCTTCCTGCTAATGATACAAAAGAAGGAAGAAAACCCTGTTTGAAGAACCTTCCCATTTTGCAGTAAAATAGGACACAATTCTTTGTTAACCCCAAAATGACTGTCAGATCTCTCATACATTAAGTATTAGTAAATATTTATTTATTTATTTTTTAAAATTTGTTATGACGTGATTGTCTACCACTGTCCCCCATTAAGTAGCGCTGGCAACACACACCCTCAGGTGGCTATGGATCCCAAAGTCCATTACCACCCCACTATATATATATAAATACAATCTATCTGCCTCCCCTTACCTTAATAATAGGGAGGGGTGCATTAAACTAACACCTGTAAAATTTAGAATATATATATATTTATTTATTTTTCTTTTAAATCTTCTATTCTTCACCCCCCTCTAGAAAACCTGGAGGTGAACTATACTACTTATTGGAGTCCGGGCAATGGCATGTCTACTCCTCCTTGTACAACTATGTTTAGAGACCCACGCATCTCCCTTGGTGGGGCTGAGGTGGGGCACATTGGGTAGCCCTCTTATTAATATTAAGGCCCTTGC